TATAATTCCTTCGCATACGTAGGTGCAACAACTAACCTTAGTCTTAGCCTTTTACTGAAAAACATTATCGGTTTCTCCAATTAAAGTAAGACTACACCTATACTAGTATTAGAGGCATCCGTTTCTAAGACAAATGGTACCTTAAAATCAGGTAGGCTCAATATTGGTTTGTTGAACATTTCCTGCTTCAGTTGTAGGCAACTTGAGCATCTTCTAACCAAGTAAATGCTCCTTGCTTCAAAAGATTAGTTAAAGGTGCTGCTATTATGGTATACTGCCTCACAAAACATGTCTTCTATTTTTTCGGGTTTGCATGTACTCCCTGCTTTGAGACTTTGTGTCCCAAATATTCAATTTCTCTAACTCCAAAAGCACCTTGCTCAGCTTCATAAAAAATCTATGTTGTTTCAGACACTACAACGTGATTTGCAAATGATGATTATGCTCCTCCATTGATCCACTGTATACTAATATATCATAAAAAAAGATTATGATAAATCTTCAAAGAAATGGCCTAAATAATTGATTCATCACTGCCTAGAACATACTTAGGGCATTTGTCAAATCAAATGGGATGACTAAATACTCATAATGCTTTAGGAATATCTTGTGCCAACATCCTTATTTGGTGATACTCAGCCCTCAAATCTAGCCTTGAAATCATTGATGTTCCTGTATATGTTTTGATGTACCTGTATTCTTATTTGGTATATATTTTGATATACATGTATCTCTAACCAGTAGTTAGATTTGTGGGGACTTCCACTGGATAGATCTCATTGGGGAGTTCCAATTGGTTTGAAGTCATAGTGTTGTCTTCGTTGTGGGAGCGATACTAGAAATGTATCGGGAGTTATAAGATGGGACCCTTATATAATATCCTTGTTTGGATGTTCTTGGATGTATGTTTTCCTAGGGACTGTTATGATTTTGTATGTTATATTGTACATTTGTTATCATTGCATGCACATTGAGTGAGTCATTGGGTTGAGTGACCCTCCAAGACCTGTGGTTTACTGAGATTGTCAAATCTTACCCCCATTATGGGGTCCTTTTTTCGGTACCACTAGTGCTGCTGGAGAAGCTTTGGGCAAGAAGCTCACTTAGTATGGATACGAGCATATGGAGTATTTTGACATGTATGTAGGAGTACATAAGGATTTTCTTAGCATTTTGAGATATTATTTTGATGCACATGCTAGTTGCTTATTTTGTATCAATGAATTAGTGCATGAACGTTGTTCTTGTATGTAATGATGTGGACATGCTTAGGGTTGTTCATGCTTTTGCGTCTAAGTCATATAATTATTATGTTGATATATACATTTACTTAATTGTTATAATCCTAAACGTATCATTGAAGGATCTTGTGTATGTAAATGTTGATGTATGTAATGGAAGAGCATTATGCCTATTTTGGATGTAGATGATGATTAATCATAATGAATGATAAAAGGGATATTGTGTATGAAAGGGAATGAGAGGAATTAATAATGCGAGATGAAATTATAATTTGAGTAAAGAGACATAATATGAATTGATGAATATTCTGGGTTGTAAGTGCACCAAGATATGTTGTTCCTTTGGATGCCACCCTTTTGGTCAATTAGGTATCTTTTTTGAGTATTAAAACACAATTGTTTAAGGGAAAAACTAATATCATGTTACTGTAAAATTTTGTTTCCTCCTACTCTCAGATCGTTTTCCGTGCTAGTTTTTTTGTTTATTTTTTTTTCTAATATTTGATGGGCCCTACAAAAACATGTCTCTATGACATGATGTATTCATTTTGTTGTTACATAACATTCACAAAACCCTTTGTTTAAAGTGGGAAAAAGTTGTAAAAACAAAGTAGACTATGTCAAAAATAGTGAGATTTTACCCTAACTTTGAGAGTCCATAACTTTCTCCACAGTGGTCCAATTAAGGCGTACTATACTTATTTTGAAGCTTAGGATGTCCCCTACATTATCGTAAAATTTGGTGTGATTTGGAGTTGTAGAAATTGCCCAGTCTTCGTCTGAATGCAGATTGTTTCTATTCGCGCTGAAGTTGACAACATTGGTTTACGTTTTTGAAAAATTCATATCTCTTTCTCATCTCTCAACCAAATTAGGCTTATGATATATCAAATTGAAGCTTGAGGAGTCTACTAAAACATATTAAAATTTATGAGAAAATAGCGAAGAAGAACAACTGCTGTTTTAAAATAAGTGAAGGATGTTAATGATCCGGTTGTGCAGTTTTTACTAATTTAAGAAATTAACTTACGACGAGCGTATCTAGAGCTACAAAACTCCAATTGAGGCGTTTGATACCTTTTTGGAAAGCTAAAAAAGTCTAGTTTAACATATAAAAAGATGGAAATTTATGGACATGTGGTCCATCTGCAATTTTGATAAAACTGAATATACCTCAAGTAGGTAAAACATCAAAGAATTTGTGCTTTGTTAGTTTATGGGAACCACTTAGCATCTTTAAATAGACGTTGTATGATGTTAAGCCATAATTTTTATGATTCCGCAATAGTTTTGAGTTACGATCATATTTTGATAAAATGTTTAATACGAGTGTTATATAAACACAAGCGTGGTTAAAAAGAAAAAGTTTTTCCTGTATTTTTAAATGAACTGTTGTAATTGTAACTGCGCTTAATATCATAAACAATGATAACATGACCAGTGACGAATGGGGTTTTACACCATATTTAATGAAATGAGTATTGTGCCAATCAGGTGTTGTAAAAATAGTGGGAATGTGATCCCTAGAAATTGTTTGATAAACAGCAGATATGCTGTCAAAATTTATAAGAAAACATAGTATAAGTGTGTATGAACTGGGTGAGTCATATTTTACTCAATTCTTAGTCAAATGAAGTGTGTGAGCTATCATTTTGAAGCTCAGAATGTCTTCTGCGATGTCTCAAAATATGGAAGAGAAATGAGTTACAGCCTGCGTGCAGTTTGCGTTTAAGCAAGGACTGTCCAGATTCGCATGGTGGTTAACAACAACTACGTGTTAACTTTAAAAATTCATATCTCCTCCGTTTCTTATTGAAACAAGTCTTGTGATATATCAAATTGAAGGTCTAAGTTTCAACTATGACATATTCAAAATTGAGAGCAAATAGACGAGCAGGTTAGCTGTAGTTTTAAAAGCAGTAAGGTAACCAAGATTCGCTGTTGACATATATTGACAGTTTTGAGTAGTTAACTTATGGTAAGGATATCTGGAGATGTAGAAGTCCAAATTAAGCTTTTGATATCTTGTTGGAAATTTTAGAGAGTCTAGTTTAACATACTAAAATATGAGAATTTATTGGTAAGCAAGTCATGTGCAGTTTTGGAAATATCAAAACTATATAAGGTTGGTAAAATGTGTAAAAGTGAATTAAGTTTTGTTGGTTTATGTGAACCACTTAGCAATCTTTGTATATGTATTGTGTGATATTTAAGTAGTAGAATTTTATGTTACACAATTATTTCTGGTTATGATCATGTTATGGAAATTGTCTTAAATACAGTTATTTTAAATGAAAATATTGTTTTTAAAAGGAAAAAGTTCTACCGCATTTTAATTCAAATGTCGTGAGTGTAACTACACTTAATATCATATGTATGTTAAAACGCCGGTCCGAAACAGGATGTTACATAATACCCCAGTTGAATTAATGACTGATTCAAGTTTAATAACATTTATTTTCATGTAAGCGTACAGTTATATTTACCGATCATATTAATTAAAGGATTCGTTTTTTCTGCAGTTACTGCAGATAAGTTCTCTGCAGTAAGCCCAATACGATGTCGTATTGGGGCGGAAATCATGGTGTTTTTGTAATTTTAATTTATAATTATAATTTTTTAATCTTTCAATCCCAAAATGACATCATTTTGAGAGTAAATGCAGATAACTTATCTGCATTAACTGCATAAATAATTTTCTGTTAATTAAAATATCAAACAAAAAGCTATAATACTTTGAGGCGTACGATACAATAAATAAAGGAAAAAATGTGTCTCATTTTAAAGGATATAAAATTGTGTCATTTTAAGTGAGAGAAATAGATCATGAGAGAGAGTGTGTGTAAAAATTTTAAAGGTATCTGTCCCACTTTTTTATAAGAGTAAAAAGACACAAGTTATGTCATTTAAAATGATATACTTTTTTCACATAAATAAAATGGAGTACAAACATTAAAGGCTAGAATATTGCATAACAACACGAGAGATTTTTAATTTTTTAAAATTTCTCCTGTTGATGGTTGATTATCTGATTTAATTTGAGTCGAGTTTTCTCTAATTCATATAGAAGTGACTTTTCCTCAAATCAATTTTTTTTCTTTAAATTAGTCCTCTCATATAACATGACGTGTAAACTGACAACATATAATATAATATATTCAACTACAAATCAAATGGTAATGTTTTTCTCACCTCTTATTTTAATATAGGAAAAAATATTTATCTTTTTAAATGACATAATTTATACATTTCACTCTCATAAAGAGATGAGACCCGTACCTTTATTTTTTTTTGTCAACTTTATTTCCTCCTTTATCTATCTTTTTCTCTCTCTTAAAATGATATAACTTTACATCCTTTAAAATGAGATATACTTTGCCCTTTAATATAATCCCCTTCCCCTTCTTCATGACTTACGAGTTTTTCTCAACTTTAAAATAAAAATAAAAAAGTGTAATTTCACCTTTAGTCAATCATTTATTCACTTATTTATGAAAAAAAATGTTTTTTTCCATGAGATAAAGTGTAATTTTTCATGCATTATTTTTCCAAATCCCAAACAAAATTGCAGAAAATAATTTTATATACGAGAAATATTAATCTTTTTATTTAATTAGAAAAATAGTTAATAACATACTTAAACATCTTTATTTTTTGAGTTAATTTTAATTTAATAAAAAACATACAGTCAATGAGCAACACAAAACTGGCTGGTGGGTTGGTAGGTATAACCTTAGTAGGTATCCCTATCAATTTTCATATCATAATGTTTCTATTTACAGTCCCTCTCTCTCTTTCCTCTGTTGTTTGAGAAAATATATATAGGGAGAGAGAGAGAACGGTTCAGAAATGGGTTTATATTCAACCATGATGGAGGAGATAACCTTGTACACGGGGCTATCTCCAACGGCGTTCTTCACCATCATGGCCATGATGGTCGTCGTTTACAGAACCGTTAGCGGCATGTTCGTGTCCCCCGAAGATTTCAACAAACCCCCTATTATTTCGGCTCGAACCGGTGGCCGGTTCGACGACGACGACCCCAAACCGCCACGCGAACCGGTTCGGTTGGGTGAAATCACGGACCAGGAATTGAGATCCTATAATGGCTCCGATCCTGATAAACCTCTCCTGATGGCAATCAAAGGCCAGATCTATGACGTCTCCACTGCCAGGTTCTTCAATTTTGCTTCTCTTTCTAGTATGTGTTGTTTGGTTGGTGAGAAAGTGAAGGAAAATATATACTTTCCTCTTTTCTTTTCTTTTTTAGGTTTAGTGATTGTAGATATAATAAAATGTTATTATTTATTTAATTATTGTGGTATTTCTATCTGTATTAATATAAAAGTTCAAAAATTAAAAAATGTGAGATGCAGGAATGAGTATTTGATACAAATTATAAAATTGTTTCAAAGTGCTGTGGTTCCTTGTCATGTAATTTGCATTTTCAAAATTTAATCAATTTTTTAAATACTTTTTGTGGATGATTTCTTAATCGAAGGTCGAAGCACTTATTTGAGTTGCATTTACTTCGGCTGTGCAAAATTGTATGGTTTTATTCAATAGTAAACAGGTAGTTACTTCTTGTGATATGCATTTCATTCACCTCTTGAAGCCTATGTATATTTAGGGTGTGCTTGCTTGGTTGGAGCTACCAAATTTTCCATCAGTCCCCTTCAGTCATTACATTTTCATTATTGTCATGGATAAATCATAGTCAGTAGTTTGTAATACTTTTGCTCGGTTACAAGAAAAGCGATGAAAACCAACTAACCAAGCATTAATTATGCATGCTTCCTAGGTTTGGACCAAAATAAGAATGTCCATAAGGGAGCATTTGGTACAAGAGAAATTTCTTTTAAGTAGGAAAAAAATTTGTTCAGAATATGATGGGAAGAATTTTTTGCCGGGTAAGTTAAAAAAAAGTATTTAGTAGGCCAAATTTTTTTTGAGAAAATTAGATAAATTTTATTAATGTTATGTTTGGATAATTGTAAAATATTGATGGAAAAGTTGAGCATAGTTACCAAATTACCCCATAGTTTGAAAATTGAAGTTCACCATTGAATAAAAAGTTACTTCACCTTAGCTTTGTCCCTCTCCCTTTTTTTTCGTTTTTGTCTACTACCATTTTGCTTAACCTCTGTTATTTGATCTGGTATTAGGGCTGGAGGAGATCGTAAACTATATCATAATTATTAACGCAGTATTGTTAATTATTAACGCACCAGTACTGTATCCTCTGAGAAAAACAATGCATAATTATTAATAAACTATAACTCATAAACTAAACATTGAACAATAACAATCTTCACAGGGAACACTGTCATAATCGTAAACATATGAAACAAAAACAACCGTAAAAAAAAACTTTACAACCAGGGGTAACACGTTGTTCCCCCAACAAATGATGACTTCGTATAACATTTGAACTGAAGTGAAATACAAAAATAACTTGATAAACAAATGCTCAGCAATAAATCCACCCACAGTGATGGAGAAGATAACATCACGATGTTCATCAACAAAATAACACAGCAATAGTATCCTTTGAAGATGGAATGTGCCTCTGTTGTGCGTCTTCATCAACATTGTAAGGTGAAAAAACAGGGTATTTTGATAAAGTGAAAACTAAATTTATCCAGGATGTTTTTCCTTGCTGCCAGCAACTTTTTTTACCATACTTTCAATGGACAAATTTTATGGAGCTATCATGTGTAAAACATCCTGCCCAGCAAAAAAATGTTACCATCCATTTTTTTATTTTACTCCTACCAAACATAGCTAACTTATTTTACTCACCTCACTCTCTTCGATAATTTTTTTTTTCCATCCTACCAAACATCCCCTAAAAGAAAAAAATGATGTTGCATTGTTGCTGACTCAACAACCAGAAAAGAAAAGAAAAGAAAATAAGAATGCACACTTTTCATCTTTTCCCCCACCTGTAAGTCCAACCCTCCATATTGGCGGCTTTTTTGGTGGCATTGGTGAGGAGACAAACAAGAACTCTGATTCCCCTTTGGCGTGACGGCGGAGGAAGGGGTATGGTTTAGAGAAGCAAGGTAGTAAAACAAAATGGCGAGGAAGGAAAGTTGAAAAACTAAAATGAGAGAGAAAGGAAATTGGAAAAAGGGATCACGTGCCCACCTAAAACAAATTGGGACCATTAGATTTTAACAAAATAAAGGGCTGAGATTGGGAAGTATTATACCACAGTCGAAAGATCATCCCCTATATATGTGATAGGATTAACTTACATCGTTATAAGAATAAAAAGTTTTATATCCAATTCTAGCCAATAATCTGTTTGCATCTAGGATCCGAAGACAATTTAGGATCAAATTGAGAGTGTAACTTATAATTAGTCCATTTTCATTATTCTCAAGCATAATCATGATCTGAAGTTTGTAATGCTTTTGGTTACTCATATCCAAAAATGATGCCATGTTCATGTGGTATCGAGTCTTGTATCCCCAAGGAAAAATAGTTCAGTACATCATCTATTAAAGTTAAAAAGAAATGACTCACCTAATTGCATTTACTCTATTGACTCTTCTATCGTCATTACTATATGAATCCCATTTGTTAAAGGAATGAGTAGGGAAAATCTACTGGTCCCCAATGAGCTAACAAACTTTACTTGGCCATGCATATGCAGGAATTTTTATGGTCCCGGAGGACCTTATGCAATGTTTGCCGGAAAGGAATGTAGCAGGGCCCTTGCTCTACTGTCTTTTAAACCTGAAGATATTAATGGGAACCTCGAAGGTTTGGGCGAGGGAGAGCTTACAATTTTAGAAGATTGGGAATATAAATTCATAGAAAAGTATCCAAAGGTTGGCCAGCTTGTTCCAGAGCAAAGAACTCAGCAAAATGAGCACCAAAAAGAACAAATTCAAGACAATTTAAACCTTGAATGCAAGGGCAAAGCAGAATAGAAGCCATTATATTGTTGTATAGGTTGTGTGTAACCGACAGATTATTATATGTGAACACCTAATTTTTGTTCTAAATATTTAGAAATGAAAAAAATAATATTATAATTGTGAACACTTATTTCTGTTCATGTTTTTATTTAATAACAAAAAAATAATACAAAAAGTCATTAAAGGAAAAATGGGTAAAAGAAAGTCATAAGTTTCACTTGAGTAGAACCTAGGCCTTTTTTTTTTTAAAGTGCCATATTGGAGGAATCTTGTCTTCTTCTCCTTCCTTCTCTTTATATAAGGAGACCTTCCTTATGTGCTTATGGACATAAGACTCTTCAGTTGCAAAAAACATTTGGGCTTAACATTAAGCTTGTGTGTAAAAAAGAAAAAAAAAAGTTTAGTACTTTTCATATTATAAGAGATAAATTTATTTTCTATAAACACATAAAAATATGTGGTATTTATACTTTCTCTTTCTCTCTCTTTTCTTTATATGGATCCACATGAGCTTTATATAATTTCATGTGTATGTGTAGGAGATAAGTTTACTTACTTTCTCTTTTAGTTAATAATTTTCTATTTTTGTATGATTTTATATGCTTGATTTATTTTTATATAGTTTAGAAATTTAAGAGGGATTAATTTAGCCATGGTGGCTTATTAATTGCATAATTTTATAGGTCATTTTAGCTTATTTAAATTTGATATTTTATATTTATTTTTAAATTATTTAATTTTATGAGATTAATTTAGTTTTGAGAGCTTGGTGATATTTTCAAAATTGATATTTAATCTCTTGGTTTCGGTCATTTTAGTTGTAAGAGCTTAGTGATCCAATTTTTTTTTTAAATAACTTGGTCATCGTTTTCCTTTATTTTTTCTTATATTAAAAAATGATTTTTATTTTAAAAGGATTAGTTGAGCTAAGACAACTTATTAATCATGTAATTTCGGATATTTTAGTTGGGACAACTTGATATCTGAAACTTTCAAATTCAGTAAAATAAATTTTCTTAAAAAAAAATTCAAAATTAAAATCAATCAACTCATGAATATTTTTTTTAAGAACAACATAGCTTTGATATGCCGAAGGGGAACTCTTTTCGTGAAGCGAAAAATAAAATTTTGATAATTTAGTTTTATTTTTTTTAAATAATCATATGTCTATTTTTGGAAATAAAGTAATATTTGAAAAAATTATTAATAATTTGCATAATTAACTAAAGCTAATTAGTTTAAATGAATATATCTGGGGTGTAGTAAGATTAAGTTTCCATCATTCTCTATGCATAATTAGACTCCCGAACCTTGATATAAAATTTTAAAGATCAGTTTGGAAAATTGTTGGACTCTACCTGAGTAACAGGGAATAGAGAACCAAACGAATCAAAGAGATGCAAAAACGGGTAATACCTCTGAGCAACAGAGAGAGAAGAATTTTATTCAATGGTAGCCAAGTGTTTTTTTACAACAATGAATTGATGACCCACTAATGTCCCATGTTTTCCCTTTTATACAATTCTCTCTTTCCACACCCTTACACGTGTGAATACTCCAGTTCCCTTCCCTTTATTCCTACACCTGTCTCTAATTCCTCAAAGAATTAACACGTGTTGATACGTGTCTTTAACACAAAAAATCCCTAAGCCTTGATGAAGGTTTTCTTTCTCTATTTATTCTCCTTGGTTCGTTGCTTATGGTTTCCTGATGTGTATCATATGCCCCCTCTTCAACAACAACCTTGTCCTCAAGGTTGATATCTGGATATGCCAATCGCAAGTACTGTTCCTGCTCCCAAGATGCATCCTCCGGTGGTGAGGCAGACCATTGTATTAGAAATTCCTTCTGATGGGAACCATGAGCTGCTATTGTTCATGAGGACAGAATTGCTATCGGGACCTGAATCGGTCTGTTATCAATTGACAACTGGGGAACGTAAACTGGTTGTGGAGAACTAGTACCAAACAATGGTTTAAGCAACAAAATATGGAATGTGGAGTGGATCTTACATCCTTCAGGAAGATCTAATTGGTATGCCACAGGACTGACGACTTTGGTGATTCTAAAAGGACCAAAGAAACGTTTCTCGAGCTTGTGATTACACTTCTTTTCTACAGAAACCTGTCGGTATGGTTGAAGCTCCACCCACACAAAATCACCAACTACAAATAACTTGTGTTGTCTATGTTTGTCTGCTTGGATTTTCATCCGGTTGCGAGCTCGAGCCAAAGAAGTCTTCAATCCTTTGAGCAAGTCATTTCGCTCTTGCAGTAAGGAGTCTACTGCTTCCACCTTCACCAGCCCTCGTGGATAATAAGGCAACATCACAGGTTGCTTGCCATATAAAGCCTCGAATGGGGACATACCAATGGCCGAATGGACAACGGTATTATAGTGGAATTGTGCCCAACAGAGGAATTGGGACCAAGTATGTGGTTTCTCATGACAGAAAATTCGAAGATACTATTCAACATACCTATTAGTGACCTCAGTTTGGCCATCCGTTTAGGGTGGTAGGATGTACTGGCCTTCAAAGTAGTGCCACTCTTCTTGAAGAGGCTGGTCCAGAATTGGCTCAAATTTTTTTTGTCTCTGTCAGATATCAAGGACCGAGGGAAACCATGGTTCCTAACAATCATGTCACAAAAAAGATGTGCCACCTTAGCAGCTGTGAATGATGTAGGAAGAGCTCCAAAGTAGGCAAATTTACTCAATCTATCAACAGTAACCAAGATTGTAGTAAACCCGTGAGATAAAGGCAATCCAACAATAAAGTCTAAGGTGAGATCTTCAAATACACCCTCAGGTGTTGGAAGTGGCTGAAGCAAGCCGCGTGGAGCTGAAGTTGGTGATTTGAATTGTTGACAAACTTGGCAATTGCGGACATAGGCCTTAATATCCTTGCGCATTGAGTCCCAGTAAAAAGAGGAAGAAACTCTAAGTAAAGAATGAAGGACTCTAGCATGACCTCCCAATGTGGAATCATGAGCCTCTTGTAAAATTTCTGGTATAATCTTGGATGTAGGACTCAACAGAAATCGTTGCTTATGAAACAGCATCCCTTCTTTCACCGAAAGTTGAGGGAATGATCCAGGATCAATTGCTACTTGCTGGTGCAAAGAGCTCAAATATATATCACTGCCATTCTCCTCTTTAATTCGAGCCAGTAGATCAAAGGTTGGTTCACCAAGTAAAGCATGAACTGCAGCTAGGTTGTCCTCTTCAAAACAACGAGACAATCCGTCTGCAACCACATTCAAAGGACCAGGTTTATATTCAATATTAAATGAATAACCCAGTAATTTACACAAGTATTTCTGCTGCTCCGTGGTTTGAATGGTCTGCCCCAACAGTTCCTTGATACTTCTATGGTCTGTCCGGATAGTAAAATGAGCTCCAAGTAAGTATTGTCGCCACCTCTTCACCGCTTCACAGATGGCATATAATTCTCTCACATATGTAGAGGCTGTAGCTAATCTTGGTCCCAAGCATTTGCTGAAGAACGATACTGGTCTATCCTGTTGTAATAAGACTGCTCCAATACCTGAATTGGAAGCATCAGTTTCTAGGACAAATGGAAGGCTGAAATTAGGCAGCACCAAAATAGGTGTGCTTGCCATTGCCATCTTTAAGAATTCAAAAGCTTTTTGTGCTTCCTCGCCTCAATTAAAGGCTCCTTGCTTCAACAAATCAGTGAGGAGGGAGGCTATGGTTGCATAATTCTGGACAAAACGTCTATAGTTTCCGGTAAGACCAAGAAATCCCCTTAGTTGCTTGATTGACTTAGGTGGTGGCCAAGATAGCATGGCTTCTATCTTCTTATTATCAGCATGAACACCTTTGTGGGACACCTTATGGCCAAGGTAGTCAATCTCCTTCACTCCAAAGGCACACTTACTCATTTTAACGAAAAATTGATTCTGGCTAAGAGTGTGCAATGTAATCTGCATGTGTTGTATATGATCCTGTAATGAAGAACTACATACAAGAATGTCATAAAAAAAACGATAATGAATCTACGTAAGAAGGGACGAAATAGATTATTCATCACTGCCTGAAATGTGCTTGGAGCATTTGTCAACCCAAAAGACATGACCAAATACTCATAGTGGCCTTCATGGGTTCGAAAAGCTGTCTTTGGTATGAGGTAGCATTCTGATCTGATGATACCCCGCTCTCAAATCAAGTTTGGAAAAAATAGTGGATCCTTCCAATTCATCAATTAGTTCATCAATAGTAGGCATAGGAAACCGATCACGAACAGTAAGGGCATTAAGAGCCCTATAATCTATACACATCCGCCAAGTGTTGTCTTGTTTCTTAACCAATAAAACTGGAGAAGAATAAGGGCTTGTGCTGTATTGGATGAAGCCTGAAGCCAGCAATTCGGTCACTTGCTTCTCTATCTCCTCTTTTTGATGATAGTCATACCTATATGGCTTTACATTGACTGGTTTGGACCTTATTTCCAAATGAATTGCATGATCCATAAAGCGAAATGGTGGCAGGGACTTTGGAATGGAAAAAACAGCTTGATATTCCACCAAAAGTTGCCACAATTCAGGATGAACAGATGGTTGCAGTTTCACTAATTCACTATCCAATGTAGTCCCAGACTGATGTTGCGTTTCACAGGCTAAGGATAGACAACTCCCTACTGCAGACTTCTTTTGGATGCCTTCATGAGATTCCCCCTTCAACTGAACCAACTTCCCTTGCCAATCAAACTCCATTGTTAGTTGGTTGTAATCACGTGTTACTTTGCCCAATGATTCCAACCATGTCATTCCCAAGATGATTCCCAGTGTATCAAGATCAAGTACCCATAAATCCATCTCAAATGTCTGGCCTTGCACCATCAACTTCACCTTCGGGCATTTACTGTCACATACCAAGAACTCACCATTTCCTAGGAAAACTCTCATTTTCCTGATGCGTATCACTGGCATCTACAAAGCTGAAACTAAATGTCTCTGTATAAAGCTATGTGTGCTACCAGTATCTACTAGTATTGTTACTGCTTGTCCTTGAATGGTGGTAACACAATTCAAGGCTTTGGAATTGTGTATTTCAGACAAGGAATGCAGTGCTGCA